AAATGCCAGACCCACAACAGGAACTTGAGGAACTAGAGTTGGTATTTCCAGGACTCCTCCCAGACTACCTAGAAAGCAGGGTGCCTCATTTGTAGACAGTGCAAAATGAAAATGTGGAGCCTCTTGTTCAAAACGTATTACAAGTTTCAAGGCAACAAGAACAGAACCTTAAAGCAAGCTCAGATCCTGTGCCACTTGCACAGGTTTCATGCCATGAAGCCAGACTTGAGGGAAGGAGAGGGCTGGTTATGGGAAGAGGGAAGAAGGATCATCCCAGGGCCTTTGAGGGCTTAGATGGTAGGGAGAAGTGAGCTGGGAGATTGTTCACAACAGCAAAAGTGGAAACAACCCAATGTCCATCAACTGATGAATGGATAAAATGTGGCATATCCATACATTGGAATATTATTCAGCCATTAAAAGGGACAGTGCTGATATATGGTACTACATGGATGAACCTTAGAACATGAGGCAGATACAGAAGGTCACACAGGAAACGATTCTGTTTATGTGAAACATCCAGAATAGGCAAATCCTTGTAGGCAGAGCACAGACTAGTGGCTGCCTAACAAAGGTAGGGGTGAGCAGGGGCGATGAATAATGGTTACAGCTCTGGGGGACTGTGACATTCTAAAATCGACTGTGGAGATGGTGGCACAACTATGTGCATATACCGAAAATCACTGAATCGTATACTTTAAGCAGGTGAATTGTATGTTGTATCAATCATATTTCAGTAAAGCTGATCCCAAAAGAGAAGGGGGAGGGGAAAGTGAGATGGGAACATCTTAAATAATTCTTCTTTTTCTTTCTTTCTCTCTCTCCCTCCCCTCTCCCCTCCCTCCCTCTCTCTAGTTTCCCTTGATTGTGGAGGTTGTGGGAGACCCAGCATCTCAACTCCTGGAGCCCTAGCCCTGTTCTCTAGCTGCCTGGGGAGGGGCTGTCTTGCTCCTTCTGCAATCAATAGTAGCAGCAAAGTGCAAGGAAGGAAAACAGTCCCACCTCTGGAGTCCGGTCTATGTTGGAATCCTGACATCCTGACACCGACACACTGGAGATCTGTGTGCGCTCCAGCAAGTCACTCCACCTCTCTGAGCCTCATTCCCTTCGGACAAGCAATCGGGAGAAGACAGTCCACCACAACGTCTTGTGAGCGTTGGAACACAGGGGGCTCTCAAGCAATTGCAGAATTAGGACTTGATCCCCCGGCTGTGCCACACGAGGGGCTGTGCCCGTCCCCGGGCAGGAAAAATCCGGTGTCTTGGAAGCCGCGGACACCCACCCTGCCCCCGCAACCGGGGCCAGGAAGGAAGCCAGGGCGCGCAGGGGCGCGGAGGCCGGGCCGGGAGCCCAGGCGGAGGCCGGGAGCCGGGCCGCAGCCGCCGCTGCTCATCCATCAGCCGGACGAAGAGCAGAGTCGCGCTCTCCGCCCTCTGTTTGCTTTCTCGCCAATTATTGCCGCGCCGCAGCCCCTTTGTTGATACAGTAGTCCGAAAAAGTGCTAATGTCCATTTATCAGGGGGCCCGCCGGGGACTCCCACGAGTTGCGATTCTTCCCAAAATATAAACACGGGGCGAGCGTCCCAGACAGAAACCCCCATCTGTTTCCCCGGCGCGGCCGAGAGCGAGGCGTTGTTGAAGATAAAGCCGCGGATAACGCCGCCTGTCTCCAGTGGACGTCTCCCTGGCGCATTAATGACATTCCCGGCGATAGTTCCCGCTTATCTTTCAATTAATCATATATACCTTTTGCGGGCGGCCCCGCGGATTGCAGGAAAGGGGGACCGGCTGTAGCAGCCCCAGTTCGCTCTTCAATTAATAATAATTTATTTGCGCAGAATGCGCTCGAGTCACCCTGGAAGGTCACTAATCTTAGAGCACCAAGTCTCTAAAAGGCAACGGAGTCGGTGCACAGCTTTCTGGTCCCTCGTTCTGTCTTTCAGCTGAGGACTGTCTGTCCTGCCAGGTTGGTCAAAGTGCGGCCAGAGAGGCGGCCAGGTTGGGCCCGCCGCCCTTGGGAAGAAAGACGCATCCGGGCTGGGGCTGGAGAATCAAATTTCCACCCACCCGACCCGCAGCCATTGCGTATTTAAAGAAAAAAAAAATTGTTTTTTTTTTTATATACTCGCTCAGAAACAATCAAGACTGCAAAGCAAGATGCCCCGATTTTGATTTTGCGCGGTATTTATCCAGTTTTGCCCTGTTTCCTCTCTCCCCAAATTCCAGGGCTTTTTCTGCAGCCGAGAGAAACCAATATCAGATTTGCAGAGGCTATAAGGGTGGAAAAGTCAGATTTTTTTCTCCAAATAGGACGGGTTTTCTTCCCTTCCCTCTTCATGAACCTGACCCACAGATCTGTCTACTCTGGGAACTCCTATATCTGAAAATAGGTGATATATCTTCACTGCCTTGATTTGCAAAGGAAATGCAATTTTTTTTTCTTTCTTAGGACTATCTCCTTTAAAAAAAAAATTCTCAAAACAGGGATCCCGGATGCAGCCTCGATGTCCCCCATTAAACGGTAATATTTCAGGCGTCGGCCCACACTAATCTTTCAAACTGTCATCGCGAGCCGCCGGCCAGCGGATTCACTTAACAGCGCTCCCAGGACCCCAGCTCCGAGCTCTTTTCAGCGAGACGTTTAATTGAATCGGATGTGGCTCGTTTGCCAGACATCACCGCCTTGGTGATAGGCATCCTCTCCCACACCCCAAAAACAGTCTTCAAAGGCGAGCGGCGGGCCCCCAGGCTAGGTGAGTCGAGAGCAAGTGAAGAAGAAAAAACAGGTTGCAGGAAAGTCGAGGGGGACAAGAAGTGTTCCTGAGGCCGAAGAGCCCCACGCTTGGGGAAAAGGCATTCTCCGTCCGCAGTGCCGTTCACAAGTCCCAGGACGAGCGACATCCCTGACTGCGGCCGGGGCCTGGGACTGACGGCTGGCGCCTAGAAGCCTGGGTTGCCAGCAGGGCCCTCGCAGGGAGGCTGCAGGCCTTGGGAGTTTGGATTTGATGAGAGGCACTTTGGGACCCAACCAGGCCAACCCTAGTCACCGCTGGGCCCCCGACGCTGGTGCCGCCCGACGGCTCACAGTCCCGCTAGAGCACAACATTCGTATCCTGGACAGATACGAAGCCCCTGCGCTTCGCTCGCTCGTTCCCGCTGCGCTTCGGGCGAGCATTCAGGGCCCTCGGGTTGGTGGTGTCCTGAGCCAGTCTTTGGCGCTGCATCCCCTTTCTCCTATTTAAGACCCTCTTGCCAGGTGCCCGACCAGCCCTCCCCAGGAGCTGAGCCCTCCGCAACTCCTTCTTCTGCAAGCCCGCGCACTAGCGTGGGTCGTGGGAAAGCGAGGCATTTCCAAAGACAGGCCTCACCATCCAGGCAGTAGGTAGGGTAAGGCAATGTCCTTCGCCTGGCCCCTCTGTCTAGAAACTACCAACAAATAAGCGCCGCTGTGCAGCGTTCTAGACTGGGGGTTGGGGGCTGAAGGCCCAGTTTTCCTCAGCTCTCCCAAGGAGTGCTGCTTCTCCTGGGAGTGAGGCCGGGCACCCAGCATCTGGCAACTTCATTTGTACTCCCTAAACCCTGGCAGATGTGTCTGGCAGAAGCGACCTGCTTTAGTGACCCTGGACTAAAAATGACCATCTCACCTGTCCTGTCCCCCCTGCTGCCTAAGCCTGAAGTCAGGAAGCCCCACTGGAAGCACAACCCAGATGCCTGGGAGAGATCCTGGCCTCCAGAGCTGGGGTTGTGGCTCATTGGTAGAGCGCTTGCCTAGCACGTGTGAAGCACTGGGTTCCATCCTCGGCACCACATAAAAATACTAATTAAATAAACATATAAAATGCAATAATGTATTCTACTATTATATATAACTAATTAAAACAAATTTAAAAATTTTAAGAATGCAATTTTAAAAAAAAAAAAAAAGAAAGGAAGGAAGAAATCCTGGCCTCCTTGCTTGAGAGCTAAACCTGGTCTGGGGCTCAGGGGAACTGGAGATGGCAGAGGCTGGAGGACCTTGAAGCTGGGCAGGGAGAGTAGAAGAAAAAGGGGGGCAGGATTGGTGGGCTCCAGAAGAGGAAAAAAGGGGCACTGGTTTTGCTGTGCCCCCCTAGAAGAGAGCTCCCTCCTGTCTCATTATTAAGGGGTGAGTCACTGCCCTGTGAGGGTACTGGTGTGAATGGCAGCCCTGGAGTTGTGGCTAGCAACTTGCTCTGTTGTAAGTGGCCCCTTCCACCCACAGTCACCCACCTTGACTTTTCTTAAAATGTGACTCACCCAGGAGCCCTCAGGGCCTGGGATACCTGGGAAGGAGGGACCCCTGGGACATGACTGGGACCCCTGGGACATGACCGAGCTGCTCCTCTAGATTTCCAGAATCTCCCCTCTTGCCCTCACCCCAGAACAACCTTCTCTTCTTATTCATTCTCTTCCCAGCCAGGCACACCTCTGCAATAAAGCCTTAAAGACCCCTGGAAATTACCCCTCTCCCCCAACTTCTTACCCCACCCTTCACTCTCCGCTGCAGCTGTGGGTGCCATTTTTCCCCCAAATTCCAGATCTACCCCAACTGGCCCAGAAGCCCAACTAGGAGGAGAATAAGGTCCTTGCCCACGTCTGGGTTTTTCAGGCTAATGTAGAACAATCTCAGGCTCCTGGAGCAAAAGGAGAGTTCCAAATGCGTCGTGGCCCCTTTAAAAAAGCTGAGCAGGATTTTTTTTTTTTTTTTCCTAGCCGTATGACTATATTAGGTGACACGAAACTGCCCGTCGCTCCTGTCATCGAGGCCCCTGGCCCAATGGCAAGCTGAATCCCCCTCCTCGGTCCTGGTCCCGCCTCTCCTACCCCTTGTGCTTAGCGCTACCTGCCGCCCGGCCACATCCAGAGCAGGAAGGCGGGTGCGCAGGCGGTGGGCGGCGGGCACCATGCAGGGAGGCTGCCCGGGGCCGCGGGCAGCGCCACTCTCTGCCGCCCACCTGGCGCTGTGAGACTGGCGTGCCACCATGTTCCCCAGCCCTGCACTCACGCCCACGCCGTTCTCGGTCAAAGACATCCTGAACCTGGAGCAGCAGCAGCGCAGCCTGGCCGCCGGGGAGCTCTCCGCGCGCCTGGAGGCCACCCTGGCGCCCGCCTCCTGCATGCTGGCCGCCTTCAAGCCCGAGGCCTACTCCCGGCCGGAGGCGGCGCCTGGCCTCCCAGAGCTGCGCGCCGAGCTGGGTCCCGCGTCTTCGCCCCCCAAGTGCCCGCCTGCTTTTCCCGCCGGCCCCACCTTCTATCCGCGAGCCTACGGCGACCCCGACCCGGCCAAGGACCCTCGAGCGGATAAGAAAGGTAAGGGGGAAACACCGGCCCCTTTCCCCTCTCGGGTCGCTTTCACCCCCAGACCTCTCCGCCCAGGAACCCAGGCCCTGGAGGAGGAGGAGCGCGCTTGGGCCAAGGGCTGGTCGCAGAGAGCTCCAAGTGAGATGCTAGGTTGTCGTGAGGGTCCCCGCGACCAGTGTTCAGAGGAAATGCCGGAATGAGGGGGTCAGAAAGGAGAGACCAAAAACCGTGGGAGTTTTCAGCCTAACAAAGCAGGGCTGCGGCCCTGCTCTTGGATCTGTGGCGAAGTCCAGTGATCACTTGTGGTAGAACAAAGCGAGAAACAGAATCTCTGCGCCAGAGGATTTAGTATCGCTTTGGGGTGTCGGGTCTGTTGGGGATCTAGGGGAGTGCTAAACAGAAATCAGAGCGCCGCACAGCAGACAGGCTTGGGCGCACAATTGGAGAGGAATCCTGGCCTCCGCAGTTTCAGGGGCCTTTTCTCCTTTGGGCCAAGAGAGTGCAGTCTTTGGGAACAAGGGCCTGGACTTTAAAATGGGATACTGCGGACCCTCTGGAAAATGCTTTAGTTTTATTTTTCCAGCACAGTTTCCGGACAGGGCCAGGGCCAAGAGGTTCTCTCATGGGATACGTTAGAAAATGTCGTGCCACTGATAGCCCGGGAAGAGAAGGCTGTGGAAGGTGATCGGATTCACTCTCAGGACATCCCGTGGAAGTGGGTAGTGGGGAGCCTGATCTGCTCACAGAAAGGAGGGGGCTAGGGAGACCAGGGCCCAGCTCCGGGTCAGCGGCAAGCAGGTTGGAGGGCTGGAGTGCTGTAAACCCCAGTAAGCCAGAAAAGGATTCCTAGGTTTGTCTAGGAGCCGAGATGAGGCCCGGGAGCCTCTGTGGGCGACTAGAATTGATTGCGAACGGAATCCGGCTTGAGTAAGCGGGCAAGGTTCCCCTGCCAACCCGTGGCAGCTTGGACATTGCGTAAATGCTGCGCCGGCTACCAGGAGTCTTTGATTACCAAACCAGCACCTCTTGGCCTCTGTTTCTTTGTTTCCTTAATTTTGACACAACGTGACCGCCTCCAGGGTGAGAACTCTGGCCTCCCTTCACTTCACTCCTCAAACCAAAGTAACCCAAATATATCTCACCCCAGAGCATCACCCGTTTTTGTTTTTATTTTTTCTTTCTTGGCAGTCTGAAATCTTAACCCCGGGTCTCCCTCACCAGGATGAACTGCCCCAGGGCAAACACTTCTCTTCTCCAGCGCCTAGGGCTGTCCCTGGCACTTAGGCTTTCAACAAATGCTTAACTGACTGTCAAGGGAAAATCGCTCGGCGTCCGTGGAGCCTAGTGCCAAGTTGGTCGCCCCAGGCAGGACAGGGTGGCACCCACGAGGACCTGTTACCTCTACCTGGTGCTACTGGCTTCGGGCCGCTCTGATCAAATGTCTTTCTACCTTTCTGTTCCCGCTCAGAGCTGTGCGCGCTGCAGAAGGTGGTGGAGCTGGAGAAGCCGGAGGCGGACAGCGCGGAGCGTCCCCGGGCGCGACGACGGAGGAAGCCACGCGTGCTCTTCTCGCAGGCGCAGGTCTATGAGTTGGAGCGCCGCTTCAAGCAACAGCGGTACTTGTCCGCTCCGGAGCGCGACCAGCTGGCCAGCGTGCTGAAGCTCACGTCCACGCAGGTCAAAATCTGGTTCCAGAACCGGCGCTACAAGTGCAAGCGGCAACGACAGGACCAGACTCTGGAGCTGGTGGGGCTGCCCCCGCCTCCGCCGCCGCCTGCCCGCAGGATCGCGGTGCCGGTGCTGGTGCGCGACGGCAAGCCGTGCCTAGGGGACTCGGCACCCTACGCACCTGCCTATGGCGTGGGCCTCAACGCCTATGGTTATAACGCCTACCCCGCCTACCCCGGCTACGGTGGTGCGGCCTGCAGCCCCGGCTACAGCTGCGCCGCGGCTTACCCCGCTGCATCTCCCGCGGCGCAACCCGCTTCGGCTGCAGCCAATAGCAACTTCGTGAGCTTTGGCGTCGGGGACTTGAACGCTGTGCAGAGCCCCGGGGTTCCGCAGGGTAACTCGGGAGTGTCCACCCTGCACGGTATCCGAGCCTGGTAGGGAAGGGACCCGACCGGATCCCACTTAGGAGAAGGGCATTGACTCTGGGGGGAGGAAGGGCCCCCGCCAAGACCCTGGCCCTGCGTCCTTGGGTTTCACATTTACTCCTGGGGAGGGGGGGGGTCTCGGAACTTTTTCCCGCCTTATTTACCTTTTCCCCAGGCGCGTTCACACAGCCTGCGGTGAGTGATCGCGCAGTCTGGTGTCTTGGTTACTGCCCCGGGAGTGCCCTCCGAGCGCCCACGGGCACCTCCGACTGACCCAACACCAGCGATTCGGGACCGAGAGCCCGGACGCGCGGGCCTAAGATCCAACCGCTTTTTCTCGAGCCTGGGCCGGGTGCCTGGGACCTTGCTGCCTTGTCGCTGCCCACCCACCCACCCGTATTTATGTTTTTACCTATTGCTGTAAGAAATGAGAATCCCCTTTCCATTAAAGTGAGTGAGCTGACCCGGTACGTGTGCTTCTTTCAGCTTGCGCGGTTCAAAAACGGACTTTCTAAGGCGGAGACAGCCAGAGGATCCCAGGGCCAGGCTTGCGCTGTGCCAATTAACCCACGCGGGCCCCTTATCAGGACTTTCTAGGATTGTCTCATATAATCTAAGAGAAATCCTATGTTGAAGTTTAGCAACTGTGGCCTGCGGAGGTTTAATGACTTTCCTCCAACGAACTAGCCAGAATCAATGGAGCTAGCTGTTTGATTCTTTCACTTTAGTGACTGATGGTGCTGGCCTGGTCCCCAACCACATCTTCTTGAATTCTAAAATGTGCCAGGCAGGCACTGTTACAGGTCCTGGACACAAAACGAAAGGCAAAGGTGCAGTGTTCTATGCCACTGGAACAGCACCATGACTGATCCTATTTAAAAGAATGCCTTAGCCTATTTCACAGATGCAAAAACCGAGAACCAAGGCCCTGGCCCTGTTCCTATTGGACAAGATACTCCTAATGGATTTGTACCTCGGGGTCCCCTGCCTAGTCTTCAACTGCTGCCCAGCTAGGTTGAGCAGACCCTAGAAGCAAACAGGGCTCACCTTCCGCTGTGGCCAGATGGCAAGAATCCACATGCGCAGGGAAGACCCTGTGCCCTAACCTGGCTAGTGTGTTTCCTTAGGACACTCAACTAATTTCACCATAGGTGGCACAATTTTATAAAACGCTATTGCTGAACCAGTTTTACGGATGAGAAAACTAAGGCTTGATGAAATCAAGATTAAAAACCTGCTAGTTGGAGGGTTCACCTACTGTGCCCATTCGGTGGTTGTTTGTGTGTAAACTGGGGGAAAAGAGAACACCTAGCTCCAAGCCCTGGCCTCTTAAGTCCCTAGGGGCTCAGACCCGATCTCTAACTTGTCTATCCCCAACCCCCAGGGCCAGAGGAGGAATATTCCAGCTTTATAAAAAGAACAAAAGGGAGGGGGGGCTGGTGTTTTGTTACCCACGGAATAAGGGGGTTTTGTTTCTTTTGTGTTTGATATTTGTTCGGAAAGCGCTGGGCTGGCTGCATTGGGCATCAGGGCATCGGCTGAGAGCTTTCAGAAGCAGCAAAATATTGCCAATGGAGTCCGGGGACAGAGCTGCTCACTGTGCCCTTGATACCAGGAAAAATAGCTGGACCAAATCTGGAGCAATCCGGGGATGTCTTGATGCCTCTATGGGAATCCCACAGCTCTGCCAGTGCCTTTGAGTCATCTCTTTGGGTAAGTGCAGCCCCACCCCCGCTGCCAGCCCCAAGCGCCTGAGGAAGAGGGTAAGATTTGAGCTTAGTGCAGCCACTTATTTAAAGCCCCACCCCAACTTGTTCAGTGGTAAGCCACATTGGACAAGGGAGCACTTAAGATGGGCTGGGCTGTGGGAAGCCAAGGGAAAGGGCTGTGCCTAAGGCTTGGCTAGGAGTCACCAGCCCTGAATTCCCTCTGTTGTAAGGTCCCTGCTGGGCTGGCATGTCTACAGGTAGCTGGGCATGTTCAGCCTAAGAGCCTAGTGGACCAAGGATCCCAGTCCTTCTGTGGTGAGCGCTGTGCTCTCTGCTCCTCTGTGCTGCACAGCAGTTCTGTCAGCCCGGGGCACAGCCCTAGTACACAGTCTGTCTGGAAAGCCCTGCTACCCAGAGCCATCCACTTGTGCACTCCTAAGGAGATCCTCTGGGCCTTGCATACCCCCGAGCTGCTTTCATCTACTTCATGTGACATTTGTCTGCAATGTCATTAGAAGCAAAATTTATTTCACTGAACAGCCACACTTCATCACCCCCGTGTTTGGTGATGTTGAGGATGGAACCCAGCCTCGGGCACAGGCGCCCTACCGCCAAGCTCCATCCCCAGCCCTCCGGAGGATTTTTCCAGAATGCCCTTCTCTTTGTCACCCTGTTTTCAGGGACCAGGTGAGTGACTCCAGGGTCTCCTGAGCTAAGAGAGGGATAGCAACGATGGGCGTTTGCTGAAGGATAGCGAAAAGCCCGAGTCGGACCAACTTGCTTTAGAAACTTTTTCTGATATAACCGATTCTCATTTGCAGACTGGGAAACCAAAGAGGTCCAAGCCAGGTCGTGGTAGGCGAGGCCGGGAAATGCGCCGGAGCCCCTCCAGGAGGGCGGAGGGGAGCGTGGCTTTGAGGCCAGAGCGGGCGTATTAGAGGCCACCCTCCAGTTCGGACTGGCCCCAGCACGGAGCGGACCCTCGATGGAGTGACAGCCTCAGGGGTCGGGTCAGCCGCACTCTGCAGTGGGAGTTGCTCTGGGGAGAGGCGCCAGGGGGCTGGCCGGCCCAGCTCCTGAGCCCTCAGCCCTCGCCCAGGCTCTCATCCAAGGGGGTTGGAGCTGGAGCCAAAGCGCACTGCGGGGAAGGTCCGCGGCTCCCCGCCCGCCGCGATTGGGTCGGTGTTGTTTTGTTTATCAATTATTATATAAACGACGAGACGAGATGGGGTGAGGACAGTGGAGAGGACAGAGAAGTGGAGAGAAAGGAGAAGCGAGTTGGTGGAAAGCCTTCGGGTTGGGGCGGGGTGGCGTGGGCTCCGCAGGCCGGGAGCGCCAGGGACACGCGACGGTTTTTACTAATTTTTGAAGAAATCAAAAAAGCTCAAGAGAAGTTTCAGAGTAATCAGAAATAAACTGATTTTTAAAGAAGGCTTCCCGGCCTGGGTTGAAGTTGTTTCCTCCGCGGGCCCCTTGCTGCAGGGGCCCTAGGTTGGAGGCCTGGCCCCCGCCCTCCCAGCCTCCGCAGCGGCTGGTCAGCCCCTATCTGCCGGCGCAGGCTTTGCCGAATCGGAAGAGCTCCCGTCCTCTGGTTTAGATTTCTCCTTACATTGACTGAAACTAGATGAACCTGCAGGGCCCGCCTTCTTCCCAGGACTTCAGAAGCAGCCATCCAGCGCGCTGGGCTCTGCCTCCGGGGGCCACCTCTGGTTCCTTACCTGTCTCCCTACCTCCCCAGATACATTCCTGCTCCGGACACCTCCAGGCCCCCACCTCTTGCTGACCACCCTACTAGATTGGTCTCCCAAAGAAAGGGGCCTGTGACCTGGATTTCATTTAGATATCACTCACAGAATTTGCCTCCTGCCAACCCTAACTCTGAGCCCTTGACAATGAACTTATTTAATCCTCTTTTACTCCTCTGAGTTCAGCCTAGGAAACAGCTGAAGAATTCACCTTAAACTGGGAGAGGGGGAGTGACTTGCTCAAGGTCACACAGCTAGTCAGTGCCACCACTTGGTTTCAAATCTAGGGAACCCAGCTCCAGAGCCTGAGGGCCCCGGAGCCATTCCATGCCCAGCTCAGGGCTGACAAGGAACCGTCACTGTGACATGTTGGTTAACTGGTTAAAGAGTGCAGTGATAGCATTAGCGCCCACCTCTCGGAAGATCAGCTGCTATGGTTCCCTGGGAGCAGGAAGGAATGACAGCTGGGCCCTGGCCAGCGGTCTGTCCCTCTGGCCCCACTCTGCTGCTCTCAGAGGACAGCTTATTCCAGAAACAGTGGGCAGTGGAGAGACCCAACAGGCGGGTCACCCAGAGCCACCCTGGACTACTACCCTGCCCCACCCACAGCTGCACAGGGTAACAGCAAGGAGTGTTGCCCAACATCTGTTGGCGCTTACTCTGTGCCAGGGCCAGCACTAAACATTGGCCCTTCAAATACCCTTCTGCCATTTTCCAAGAGGAAATTGAAACCCAGACAAGTCCAGGACGTCACCCACCTAAGACCTCCCCCTCAGTAGTGTGGAGTGGGGGAGTCCTTGCTTGAATCCAGAAGGTTCCACCAGAGCCCTGGCTCTTTAGATACTCCCAACAGTTCCGGAGCTTTCCTGCAGACACAGAGGCTGAAGCTGGGACAGACCCAAGCCCTGGCTTCGAAGCTCCTTCCCTGGGTTCTGCAGACCCAGGCCTGCAAAACTGCCTTGGTAGCAGGTGACTCTCGTCACTCAGCAAGTTGGAGAAGCACAACCTACAGAGGCCCCAGACCTCCCGGGGGACAGCACTTGAAGGCCTGGGAGAAACCTGGAGTCAGATTTCCTGCTCCTCTGTGACCCACTGGACCCACCCTGGGGAGGGAGGAAGGGGCTGGGAAAGTAGCTGGGACAGGCTAGGAGAGGGACTCTGGGACCCCCTCGGTGTGGCCCAGAAGGGGAAGCCACCCTTGCCGCCTGCACAGACCCGTGCTCCAGAGAAGAGGGACTCCGAGGACTATTCAAAGACACCCACCTGATCTGGATCCAGCTCCACCCTGGGGTCCTGCAGGAAGGGGAGCAGGGGAGCCAGCCCCCGGGCGCCCGCAGCCTGCAAGATCCCTGGTGCCTGCAGTCAGCTGCTCCCAGAGCCAGCCTTGAAAGGCTCTACCACTTGCCCTGTCCCCAGAGTTGAGAAGGAGCCAAGCCAAGTCAGACCCCAAAGCCTCTTCTCTAGCTCAGCCCCACGCCCTGGCTCCTGCTGCTAGAGCTCCACCTCCTGCTTGGCTTCCCTGTTCCAGGGCGAGCTCAGTGGGCAGCTCTGGGGAAGGA